GCATTATAGTTGTATAATTATCTGCATTGCAGAAAATAATATCATTTTGTTTTACCCTTAGTTTTTAGGTATTTTAATGTCTAATTCAGAGAATTAGATAATAATTCCACCTGAGACTAAGAAAGTTAAACTCAGTTTTTGAACACCCAAAATGCAGTTCGAACATGTATTTTATCTGTAAGATGGAAGGATATATGGAAACGACTTCCTGCTCTTATACTCCGTAGATCAGATTTTGGAACCATCAAGATATTCACCAAATTTGTATTTAAGGTTTTATCTCTTCGTGATTCCTCTATCTCGCTGCAGTCTTTAGATTTCTATGATAATGGTTGCTTGGAGCCTCCGCTATTCAAAAGGGTTGTGAATTATGCTATTTCGCACAATTTAGGAACAGTGGAGTTCTTGATTCAAAATTTGCTGTATTTATTTGATGTTTTTTCTATCATTATGAAGGTTAGATGTATTATGTTTGTACTTGGTATCCTGTTTGAGCAGCTCTTTTAAGAGGTGCTCAAATAATTTATTTGTTGTGTTTGGGAAGTTTCTACCTACCTTATTTGATTGTTTGTGTAGTAAAATTCATGACAAATCATCTAACTGTAGTTTTGATCCACCAACAAAATTCTGGGTATTTTAGAAACAAAAACCTTCTATGTGCTCTATTCTTAAACTCTGGGAAACACAACAATGTTTTCTTCTTCAATAAGTACTAATTGAATTAGTATTAATAACTAACGTTGAAGACCATGACTTTCAATATTATGATATATTCACAACTCACACACACAAAATATATATATATATATATATATATATATATATATATATATATATATATATATATATATATATATATATATATATATATATATAGGTGCTCCATCTAAGTTCATGTAACCTCACTTGAACTTTATCAATGAAACTTAAAATAGAGTTTTTGGCACAGTTGTCAATGGAAGAGTCTTGTAGGTAATATAGTTCTATCTCGGGGTGCATTTGAATTTTGGATTCATACATTAGGTTGGATTAAACTACATAAACCTTATGTTGAACTTTCTAGTCATTCAGAAACAAATATTTATATTGCTATAAACTTTATTAGAAGGTACTATCGGATTCATTAAGTCGGGTTTTAAACAATGGTCGCTTAATAGCATATTCGTTACGAGGTTGGTAATTGATTAAGTGACGTTGAAAATCAAAGCTTCCTATTTAGGTCTAGACTAATCGATTAATACATGTTTTAATCGATTAAAAGCTATAAAAAAATCATAGATTATTTTTTTTTTTAGCTAATTTTTTTCTGTAAAGGAAGTTTCATTTCATTTCAAAATACAACTGTTTATGAATAGAAATTCTCCCTTACTAGTTATCTTAGTGTCAAGAGAATGAAAAGTTTCATCTGAGACTTATGTTGTACTGGTATTGTGTTGTAATTGTAATAAAAGTGTAGTTATCTTTTGATTTGTTTGTAAAAGATTTGAAGGTTGCAAGTTAAACCTTTAAAAATCTTGGGAGATGGTTATCGAGATGTGCTTGTGTAACAGCTCTAGGTTTTTCTGAAGGATTTTGGGTTGATTTTGTGTAAAAGTTCAAGTTGTTTTGTAAGGTTGTTTGAGTTGTTCCTATGAAAAAATTCAAGATTGTTTTAATGGAAATTTTAATGGGAAAACTCGTTAGGTTAATTGGTTTAGACTGGGTCAAGATAAATATATAGTTTATCTCTTTCTCTTTTATTTCTGCTATTTATCTTTTATTCATTACTTGTTTTCCTGTTTCTTCTCTATTCTATTATTATACTGGTGTTTCTATAAAGAGATTTTTAAAATTCAAATATCACAATTTATCTTTTCCCTATTTCGTGTTCCCCTATTTCATATTTGGAGACACTTGATCAACAAACATGTCCCCCACTTCTCACCACAATGGCAGAGTTAAACAAAAACGTAGGCAAATAGTTGAGACGTATTTCACCTTACTTGCACATGCTTCAATACCACTTAGACCATTTACAATGGTTGAAAAACTCAACACCCACTTTTTCAACTCCCAACACTCCACATCATTTTCTCTTTCTTCCACCTAATAACTCAACACCCATTCAACTTTTACCCTCTCCAATGGTTTTTCACTCAACACCCTACCCCACCACTTTATTTTTTCATATTCTTATTTAAATTTTATTTTTATTTTTATGATTACATAAAATTACAATTATCGATTAAAATTAAATTAAAATAATAAATACTTAATAATTGTTGAGATTTTGGTTAAATGGAAAATTAGCAGAATTTTGAGTGTTAAAATGATTATTGGAATCCATTTCACTAAAAAAAGACACTTAACTTCAAAATAAACACTAATAATAAAATTAAGATAGTGAAAAACTTAGTTTTTTTTTCTGTGTCCAAATCAAATGAACCAAGTCTCTATTTATAGAGAAAAAAAAATCATGAATTTTGGTAAAAAAATAAAAAATAAAAAATTAATTTGCAACAAAATAATTGAGTTCAAAGTATTAAATGGATAAAAATTTGGTCAGCCAACCAGCCGCTGCCACGTCAGCCCATGCGTCAGTGTACATGGTGTTGAGTTTTTTCAACATCTCTCTCCTCCAACACACACTCAACACTACTCTAAACACACCATTGCACATGATTTTGCCATGTTGAATTCAATTAAACACATCATTGCACATGGTCTTACATATTAAGAGGACCTAGATCCCCTGCAGGGGAATTCTACAGTCACGCAGTCCCATGCTTAAGCCATTGGATTATATTTGATGAGTTCAAATTTAATGATGAACAAATAAATAAAAAACATAATAACAAAAATGAATGGTTAGGATATGCTTGCAGTCACTATTTAACTACAGAGAATCCATTTTCATATTAGGACCAGAGTTTCACTGGTATTGTCTATCTCATGAATAGGCTTCCTACCTCAAGATTAGTTGACCATTTCTTTTCTTACCTAGCTCTTTACAAAGGTATACCTCAATACAAATCATTAAAGGTGTTTGGATGATCATTTTTCTCTTAGCACAGACCCTATAACAAACATAAACTAAAATTTATGAGTTTTGAGTGTATGTTTTTAGGTGACTCACATCAACCATAAGGGTTACAATTGTTTGAGTAAATAAGGCGTAATTTTTATCTCTAAGGATGTGTTTTCAATGAGTGCAAGTCCCATTCTCTACCTTATTTTCAACTAGCACATCCAACTTTGTGTATATACCTATGAACTCTCCTTTATTAATCACCAATACAAACAATATCCATATATCTCATCCACGACTCAAATCCCTGTCTTGCTCCAAGTGTGTCTGGTTTCACTAATGGTAATTATAGTTTTGGTACAAACGCTGCTTATTCTTATGACTTATCACACATTACCACTAGAGATTGTTTTACAAAGTGCACAAATACCAAAAGTATCTTCTTCATCTGACATATATTTGACCAACCTGCTACTTCTATCTAAGTCATATGTCCTTGTCACTCATAACCAACACCTTATGTTGACCATGGGAAAATTGGAAATTCTAAGCCTAAGGTTTTCTTTAGCTCATACTGAATCCACAACAGTTTACTAGATCATATATTTCCTAAAATGTAAACAAAATTTGGCAAATCATGGCTAACCCTCTCAATTATGACTAGTCTATAATTAGAAGGACTATTTTATGTGGCACAGTCTACTTTGCTTTCTCTCTTGCATACTGATCTACTTTGCCTTGTCTCTTATGCATATCATTGCTTATAATAGGTTTCTCCCAGGGCTTATACTGATAGTTATTGAGCTAGTCACCGAGATGGAAAAATACCCACATATGCCTCTTGCATCTTCTTTGGATCAAACCTTGTTACATTGAGCTTCAAGAAGCACTCTTTAGTTACAAGATCCAATACACATAGAGATGACAATAACTAGAATTTAAGGAGGATACTATAGTACCTGTGCTAATATATGTAGTTTGAAAAAAAATATATAGAGAATTGATTTTATGATCTTAAAAGGAATAGCGGCGCAACTTATTACCCGTTTTTCTTTTATTTCTATATTGACTTAATTTTTCATGATTAATAAAATGAAATAATCCAAAAAAAAAATTATTGAATTATGAAATAAATGAGCACTTGTATTAAAATGTGTAATAGTTAAACTATGATGTATTTTTTTAAAGAGATATATACTTTTTTTATATAATGATATAAATAAAAATATATATTTTGTGTATGTAGCAGGGTGGGTACTAAGATACACTTATCCGCACCCATATCCGTTTATTTTAATGGATAATTATCGGTGTTCATGTCCATACACCAAATGCAAGGCTCTAGCACATATCATTCATTCCTTCTACTCTATTATGTGAACGCAATTCAGTGTTATATGCTCGAACCAAACATATTGAGTTTGATATATATTTGGTCCGTGAGACACAGTAGTGGCCAAAAAACCATCAAATAAATAATTTGTACTTAGCAGGACTCAAATATTAGACCTTTAAAAGAGCACACTCTCAAGATTTAATCTTTCACCATTAGACCACACACGCACATTAGAAAAAATGAAAAAATCATAATTTTTTTTGGGTTAAAGAAACATAAAGTATATGAGAGGTTTCTACAAATAACACGCTTCAAAGCCACTAGTTTACTCCTTTTACTATAATTGATTCTAGAAGCTCTAGAATATGAAACAAACAAACTATAAAGCTTAACTAGAGTCTTGACATTTAATCAACTCGTGAGTATCAAGTGGTTAATAAAAAACAAGCAAGCTATTAGAGTATTTGTCTCTTAAGCTTCAAAGTAATTGGTGGATGAAAATTACTTGGATTTGTAGAATGAAAACCATAACAATATCATTAAAGCAACTAAGAAATTCAATCATAAAAACAATACTAGTTCTAACACAACATAGAAAACAAACAAAGAAACAAAGAGATTTTGATGAGTCCATAATAACCATATAACACAAACTCATCACAACTTATTACACTGAGTAGGAACAAAAGAAATAGTTTCTTTCTCAAGATCATGATTCACCAAAATATTCTGTTGTTGAACATTACCAAAGATAGACATTCCATTAGAAGCTCCCATAGCTAAACAAGCCACACCTAAACTCGAATCACCAATCATATAATTTTCACCCGCCAATTCCAAATCACCACCTTTAAAATGAAAAACCAGTTTTGGAATTTCAACTTGAGTTTTCCCTGATGGAAGACTAAAACAAACATCTAATCCAGTCGAACCCGAATCATCGACAGGTAAATTCGTTTGAGAAATAAACTCTTTCTTCAATGAACCAAAAGCATTTTCTTCAATGTAAGTAATCGTTGTGCCGGAATCAATAATCATACCACCACTTCCATCATCACTAACCTCAAAAGTTGATTTCTCAATGGATAATCTTGTGTCACCAACCGAGATTCCTTCGAGTGAAAGATAGTAAAAAGATGGTTGTAATGGATTTGTAATTAGTGGTGTTGTGACATGTTTTGTGACATGAACATTTGCAACAGAACCTAAGAAAAGAACACTTTCTTTTGTGTCATCCATTGAGGTTAAACAGTACGAGAATCTTTGTTCTTTTAGTTGAGAAACCAAAGATAAAGAACCTCGTCCTAATCCAACTAAACCTGAAGCTTGTTCAAACCCTTCACCTTCATTGTCTTCACCACAACCAAAACCAATGTTTTGAACAGAAACTTTGTGTTTTTTGTTGTTCTCATCACCAAAAGTGAATGTTTCACTACCTAGAACACCTTGTGTCATTGAGTTATCACCGTATGAGTAAACATAGTTGCAACCGTTTTTGTTACAAGAAGAGGAAGGTAAAGCGTTGCATAGGTTGCTACTACATGAGAGTTTTGAAAAAGTTGAGGATTTTTTTGGATCAAAGATTTGTGTTGGTTGTTTGTAACATTGTGAACAAGGCTTACATTGAGTCCAAATGAGATCACTGCCTGTGTCTAGAACTGCTGGATAAGAAACTGGTGGTGTTCCAATGGATAATTCCATTAGATATTCACCATTTCCCGCGTGAATTGGTGTTTCTAACGGAGAAGAATCATGTGTTGGTGATGATGATAACACCATTGCGTTAAGTCTTTGGAGTCGGCTATGTCCACGGTTGATGCCATGTTGAATTCTCTCCAATTTCGTCAAGTTTTTGCCCGAATCAACGTGGCGAAGAGCTACTCGGAGGCCGTGGTTAGAGATTTTGTGAGGGTTGAGAGATCCTCTTGATGTTGAGGAAGTTGGATTGATGAAAAAAATGGTTACTACTAGTGTCACCAACATGACACATTTTGAACAACTTTGTGTAGCCATGAACATTTGGTTACACAAAAAGGACTTAGAGTGAAGTTATGAAAATATGTTGAGTGAGGGAGAAGAGTGAATATATATATAAGTTTTTTTGCTAGAGAAATGGTGTAAAATCGTGGTTAATCACATGAGAAATGAGGGATCTTAATTGTAACGTTTTATAAAGAGTTAAGTAAGTAATTAGAGAGACGTAATATAGGTTTAGTGGTGAATGGGAAGTTAAGTAATGAGTTATGAGTGTAGTGTCGCAACAAATACCGGGTCTAGCGTTTTGGTAGGTGAAGATTATTATTATTATTTGCAAAACGTGGTGGCAAAATCTAAGCTAAGGTAAGATTGTTGTGACAAAAAAGTTAGGAGTCTCTAACACGTACAATTAAGAGAAGTTTTCTTGGATTAAACAAGGGACAACAATTTTGTGTATTTGTTTGTAGTTTTCTTCTTCTTTTTTTATGATAAAAAATTTAGGTAAGTTAGACTTAGGGCTTCCTAAGATATGGTAGACCTCAAACTCCAAGAACATATTATTTATTAAGGATGTCGTGTGGACAGCAGTCAGTGTAGATTTCAAAACTCAAAAAATATATACTATTTATCAAGACGTTCTCATATCAGCAATAGAGTCAGCAGTCAAGACATATTTCAAAATTTAAAGAACAAATTATCTATCAAAGATATCCTCACATTAACAGCAAATAACGAGAATTAAATTTAATATCAGTGAACTTTTTATCTAAGTAATGTAGTTATTCATTTCTTATTGAGTGAATGGAATATTTCTTTAATAGGCATCATTTTGGATGACTTATGAAAATAGGAGTATGATGAATTGGGTGACCATAAAATGAATATGAATCATTAAACCTATAGAAAAGTGTAGTGTATGATAAGTTTGTATAAATATTAATATTATGTCTAAGGGTAAAGTTGTGAAGTGATTAGATTAGATAAGTTGGGTGGACAAATTGGTTTACCAATTTGCTACAAAAAAAATAGGGAGACTGGGTTTTGTTTCAATTCTACGCATCCATTGAGATGGAAAGAAAAAGGTAGGTTGGTTATCTTTTTTTCGTTAGGTGAGAAGGTCTTATAGACAAAGATATTATCTCAATATTGATGTAATTATACTTTATATTCTGTGTTGCTATAATTATATAGTCCGATTGAATGTGAATATGTGGTCTTCAAATTTTGTTTTTTTTTTTTTGTATAATGTGAAGTTGATATTTATTTGTACACAATCAAGACAGTTTTCGAGATTTTGAGTGTTTTTATTGAAATTATGAATTTGATATCATTTTTTTTAATTTATAATTTTTTTATCCGATTTACAAATCATATAATTCTAAATATATAATTGTAAAGAAATAATATTAATATTGAAAAATTTACATCAAACTATAATAAAATTATAACAAAAATAGTTATAATATATCTAGTAATCCGAACATGTGTCAATAATTATGTACATTCCAATTCGAATATATATATATATATATATATATATATATATATATATATATATATATATATATATATATATATATATATATATATATATATATATATATATATATATATATATATATATATATATATATATATATATATATATATATATATATATATATACCATCACTCTTATCGAACACTCTCTAAAATGCATGTACACGATACTTAATGTAGTTAAATTCACATTCTACATTTAACAGGGCTAAATGGCCGGACAAAAATTTAATGCCTCTAAAAAATTGATATCCTGTGTCACCGTTCTTCCCAAACACTCTCTAAAACCCTATGTACACAATCTTTAATGTAGATAAATTCACATTCTACATTTAACAGGGCTAAATGGCCGGACAAAAATTTGATGCCGCTAAAAAGTTGATATCCTATGATTTGGTGTCGTCCCTATCCACTTCTTTGTTGTTATTTCTTATGGTATTTTTAAAATAATTGTACAAATAGTTTTTTTTAATGTATTTCTACCACACAAAGAAAAGACATCTAGATTAGAGACGTGTCTCAAAATCCAATACTTATATGATGTGTTGGTCTGAATTTTTGTGACCGTTTCGTGTTCCAGGGTCTATGCTTTATAGCTGAATTTACTGCCACTATACTATTCTTTAAATGTAGTAGTATTATGTATATTTACAAACATCTTTCTAGTGTCACTTATATTAACAACTTTATAGATTAAAATTCACCGGCAAAAATACATCTGAAAACAACAATGAATATCCTCAAACATATTGTAACCAAAAATAAATAAATAAATATCTTCAAACATATTTAATGACTAAAATGACTAATCAAATAAACTTGTAGATCTGTTTGTAATTTCAATATATTCAAATATCAGGGTGACAGAGTTACAATTTAAGAACCAAAATGGTGATTTGTCCATAAGAATTACATTAACTTCATCCCAAAGAGACTAATGGGGTCGCAAACACCCGTAACATCCATTGAATCCACCTCATATATGTTAAATCTATCAAAATAACTTTTTTTAAGGAGTTTAGTGGCTAGAATTCACCATTTAAAGGTGAACAAGTAAGATATCACAGATTCGAACTCTCATCCTATACTTGATATCTTTGCACAACTACCAATTGAACTGATTTAACAGAACCAAAATAACCTTTTTAGAATTGCATTTCCGATGATTTATTTTGACACACAATGCACTACTAAAAGTATCCTTCGCGAACCCCGCATTTTATAAGAGGAATGCATTAGGTTTGAAAGTTTGAAATAATTAATTTCAGTGACTATTAGTCAGTGACTAATGACTACATATAGGTTTAGGAATAGGAAGATCGCCTAACATTATTCCAAAAGAATAGGAAAGTAAAAAAAGAAAAGGTAGCAGGTCTATATGATTATGAGGCATGTTTGACCTGTTCCCTTTGAGTAAAGCTATCCCTTACTCAATTATAGCATGATGTGAATATGATTATTGGTAGTACATGCCCATCTATGATCATTTTCACCTTACTCAATCGCCAAACAATTCAAATTTCAATAACTAGTGTCCTACAAGTCTGCAATATTACAAATCAAGTCTGTACAGCTTTTTGCTTTGAAATTTTTAAGTGGTGCAACTCTCTTGCCACTGCACTGGGACCAAGTGAGGCAAGTAGTGAATAGTCCACATGGGTTGGAATTCTGGAAAATCAATACACCTCTCTACTGATGGGAGCTATGAGTGTGTAAATCAGAATTGCATGATTTGAAAATTGGTTTTTGAATGAACCGATTCAATGAGATACAATATTAACAAAAACTTCCTCTGAACTTAAATATATAAACAAATATGTACATCTATTTGGTATAAATGTGGACCAAATACGTGTAATTTTATTTTTCTTCTTATTTTGAAGTACAAAGAAGTATATGAAATTTGTTTAGTGCTTGTACTGCTACAGTGCTTCTCATCACTCCTAGTCTAACACATTGCATACTAGTACTTAACTTTGAGGTTTTAATTCTAGTGAGTGTAGGTGGACCAACCGATTTTTAATTGGTCCATCAGTGCAATCAAACAGATATGATTGGGAGTTTTACAAATCAGTCTTGTAAGTGGATGTTCAACTATTGACAACAGTCTGCAGAATGAAAATTTCAAAACCACTGAAAGAGAAAGACGGAGTATCAATTTTCCATTCAAGATCACGGTTTCCTAACAATGATGCAACGGTACATATAAGTTCAGGGCATATTATGAAATTGCATTATAGTAATTACAAACCGTACGAGCTAGCCCTAGATTTGTTCTTACCCATAGAATTGATCTGATAAGCGTGTTCTTCCTCCTCAAGTTTTTTTCTCCGAGCAGACTCTTCTTTCTGTCTCCGAATCATCTCTAATTCTCTTTGCCGTTCCTCCTCCTTCCGTTGTAGCTCTAGAGCTTCTCTTCTCTGAGACTCTTCCACTCTCCTCCTATTCTCTTCAAGCATCTTATCCAGCTCTTCTCTCTCTTTTCGAGCGTGTGCCTACAGAATGTCAACAAACACACCCCAATCCTCAAATGAGGACTCCAGAAAAAATAATAAAATGAACATTATTAAGACTTCAGCCTGCACCCTAGAGGCCATACCTCAAAAGTAGTGTGCACTTTTTTAGAAACAAATAATACATTTCAAAACTAGAGACTCATCCAACACAATCACCAGATTATTATAGTGCTAATGAGTGAAGAAAATAAATGTCAACAATATGGAAATTTAAGCCAGCGTTTTGATACAAATCTTGAATCAAATTTGGAAATCCCGTTGTATAACCAAAAACCTACTCATGATCGGATTCGGACTATTATTTGTCACCAATGTGGCAAAGATCTTCAAGGTGGTGTCTAGTTTATGATAGAACCACTAAAAAGATAAGGAAATTGTATTCTATTGAATGTAAAAGATGAACTCAAGAACTAAACAATGATGAAATGAAAAATGAAATGATAAACCAGAGTTCTATGAAATCCTATTCCAGAGCTAGACTCCTAAACCAGAGAGAAATCTCTATTAATTGTTTTCTAACAAACTTTCTCAATTAGTCTCAACTTCCCTTCCCTCTCTCCTCTTCTAACAATAATTCTCTTAAATTAAGGAAATATTCTAACCAACTCTCATTAGACTAAGAGTTCTATCTATTTATTAGACAAAGATGCTTATAAGATATCTCAAACTAATACTTAATTCATACATAAATTATCAATCTCTGGAAAATATCACAGTTTCAATACTTGAAACCCACTACAGATTTAATTTCAAAATTATCAAGAACTTGCCCCTGATTATCCTTTTTCATACAACAAGGGGCACGGAATACTTACTTCTTTTCTTCTAGCTTCAGTAAGCGCTTCTTGCTTTTCTTTTTCAAGTTGAACTTCAACATCATCAAACAACTTCTTCAAGCCCTCTGCTACACGCCTTTCTATTTCTAACTTAACTTCCTCTGTTTTAAGCTTCTCCTCAACATTTTTTCGAACAGCTTCCTCTATTCTTCTTGCAGCCTCTTCTTCCAACAGTTCCAAATCCTCCTCAACTGGACGCTTGGTACTACCGAATGCAAAATATTGAAAGACATAAATAACTCAACACTCGTGAATATAAAAGAAAGATTCACAAACAAGTAATGTAATTTCTATACTCGGACAACCTCATTGTAGAAAGTTATGAACTCTTAAGTTTTCACCCAAAAGAAAATTACATTGGAATCCATTTCATCATATTTCATTCAATCCTTAATTTTCATTTCTCCCTATTCAGGATTTATGCAATGGAATGGAATGTGAATCATCTGTTTCATTCCGTCAAATTATAAAAAAAATACACGATTCTGTTACATTCCGCTCCGCTCCGCTCCATTTCACGATGTTACATTCCGTTCTAGTCCATCAATCCAATCAAAAGAGAGCCTAAGTATGATAATCCTAAACAAATGAAATATGAAAGAAAAAAGGGCAATACCTTTTGTTGTTTAGGGTTGGTGAATGGTCTTTTTTGTGTTTAAGAGTGGGAGTGCGTGATCTGGGGGGAGGAGAGGGTGAGGAAGAGGTTCTGCTTCTATGTCTACGGCGGCGTCGGTTTCGGCGATGAGAAGGAGACGGAGAACGAGATCGAGAGTGTCTTCTTCTGTATGAAGGTGAACGTGATAAGCTTCGACCCATTCTCAAACCCTAATCAACGCATTTCCAATTCATTCATTCAATTCTTTTAGATTCAATTGTTAATTTCAATATCAATAGTAATATTCTTCCCTGAATTGTAGAAGATAAATAAATAAATAAATATAAATTAATCTCTATTTCATCCGTCTCAAAATAAAAGTAAAAATAATAAGTGAAAGAATAAATGTAGTTTAAAAAATTGTTCTTAATAATTATTTGTTATTTTTATATTATCATAAATAAATGAAATTTAATGTCTTGAAAGTAGTATAAATATATTTAAGGATAAAAATCAATTAATATTACATTGGAAAAATAAAACAATATTTATTTTGAGTCACATTTTTTTAAGATAAAAAAACACTTATTTTAAGATAGAGAAAATAGAAAATAAACTGTTACTTAAATCGTTTTAAAAAGTTACATTCATAGCATAGAAGGCATAACATTCTTATGTGTAAGGTTTTGAACTCTTATTAAAGGATTCAATGTTTTTAATATTAAGAAATTAAAAATATTAAAGGTAAATGATATGAATGCATGTTGATTGTCGGAACAATTTTTTTAAATATTTGACCACTTTACTTGCAGCAGATTTGAAAGTTGTATGTCCTATAATAAAATCTCCAATCATCAATTCCACTAGTGAAAAAATTCTAGATGTTACCCTCAACCCAAACATGTATCAAAATATATGTTGGCCTAAGCGTTTATCTCCTAACGTGTGGATCACTCAAGAAATTCACAAGTGTCTCTTTTTTCACAGTTGCTCTGATAAGCTAAAATATTTCAAATACGACATCACTAACAATGTCATGATATTTGACGCTTATAAGCTTCTTAAAATGAATCGTGTGTTTCCTAAATATATCCAAGCATGTATTGCGACAAACAAGACAATTTTTCTTAATAGAAAATAAGAGGATCATAAGACAATATCTAAGGAAAGTTAGATACTCTACCGGTAAAATATGTTTAATTTACTAGATTTCACCTCCCTTTCTCCAAGGAGTTTCCTGGAGGCTATAAAACTCTCAGCATTAAACCTGCATCCTCTACGCTTTTTGACATGAAGGAGAGTCACCTACTATTGGGGATGATGATGATGGAACGTGTCGACCAGGAGAGGTGAGATCAGGTCAAAAATGAACTGAGGGCAAAGCTCAAGCGGTATGAAGAAGGTTATTCCAAGATCCAAAAGTTGTTGGAGACCTTGTAAAATGAAAGAGTCCTAAGAGACCAAGTTGGGCCTCACGAAGACCAAAAGTAAGAAGTTGGCCGCCAAAGAAGATTCCTCAGAGTTATCTTTGAAAAATGTCATTTGCTCCAAAAAGAAATTGGACGGTGAGGTGTCAGAGCTCAAAAATAACTTGGTGGTGACCTCTGGTACCTATTTCGGGCATGCAAAAGAACAAGTATCTTTCTTCTTTCCTTCATTAGATTTAGGGATGTTGGATATCTTCAAGATTATCCACGATGGTCAACTGATGGATGAGGAGGAGGCATCGGCTGCAGAGCACCTAGGATCTCCCCCAGCTACATGTGCTCAGGATGGCCCTAGCAACGCAATAAAGGGAGGCAGGCTGACTACTCCTCACTTGGAGGAAATACCCGTGAAGGAGGCAACCTTGAAGAATTACTAATAAATTGATTTCTTGTTCTTGATTCTTTGGCCCTTTGTGGCTTTTTATTGTATTCTTTCCTTGTGGGGCTTTTTATAAAAACATAAATTAATGCACCTTTTATATGTCTTTATTTTAACTATCTTATTATCTTTCTTCCCATTTTGGTTGTTCTTTAGATAACTGTGTCAGGGGCCCTGTTTAGGTCTTTCATTGATATTTCCTCTTAAGGCAGCATAAATCTCTTGCAAGGAATCAGTGCGTCTTATAGCCTTAAAAAGGGAGGAAAAGATTCCTTTGTGAGGATCCAACGTTTCTATTGCCTCAAACGGTGGCAAGAGTCCCCCCTGGAGATCCAGCGTTTTGTTCACCTCAAAGGGCGGCAAGGATCTCTCGTAGGGATCTAGTGTTTTGATCGCCTCAAAGGGAGAAAAAGATTCCTTGTTGGGATCAAAAAAATTGTATTACCTCAAAAGACATCAAGGATCGCTCTATAAGGATCCATCATTTTGATCGCCTCAAAAGGAGGCAAGGATCCCTCTATGAGGATCCAACTTCATTTTGCCTTTAAGGGCGGTTTCTTGTAAAAAAAGGGAGAAATCAATGTAAATATATAAAAAATAAAATAAAACGAGGAGTCTCATTAAAAATTCTTGCCCCCTCACGAGGCACAAGGGAAAAAAGTGTGTCCCTAGAAAAACATTTTTTTACAAGCAACAGAGATGCAATATTCACTTAATCAAAATTAATATTAACAAAACAAATAAACAATGATAAAGTACAAATGCCTCAGGGGCCATCCTGCTAGAGCTTTAGTCTCATATTTTCTCTCTCTTCTAAGGGCGGCCTCTCTATAACGTCTTGATTTATTTAATTAATTTTTGTAAATGAATTGTGTGATTGTATGTGTTGGTTGATGTTTTGATGTATTGGGGGAACCCTTGGATGTAGGTGGTAGCCTTAGAATTATACATTTTAAGGGTATGAGGTGTTTGAGTAATAACGTATAGGATTATGGGTGGTAGAAGTAAAACTAATTTCTATTAGTTAATTATAATTGTTTGAATTATTTAAATAATATTAGTAGTAATTTAATTAAATAAATATTTAGTTGGGATAATATTTATTTTAATTATTTGGGATAATTTATAATAACATTATAATAAGAAAAGAGGGGAATAGAGAGTAAGACTGATAGAACTCGAAAAAGAGAAGAGAAAACAGAGTTAGGGTTTAAGGGAAGGAGAATCTCCATTAGAGAAGTGTCGAGCTCATCAATTTAAAGTAAGGGTGGGACTTCCTCTTATATAAGGGATTGCATGATACCATGTGGGTGTTTGTTCTAATATCTCTAGGATTTCTATTCTCTTTTCTATGTTTTGTGCAATTTGTTGTATAATGATGTGATTGTGTTATATGTTTGGATGAATTGGGTGTTTGTTGAGTTATATGAATGTTGTATGTTGTTGTGAACTAGAATGTATAACTTGGGTACATGACTTCTTTCAGAAAAATGGGGTTTTGAGGATGTGTTTGGGACTATTTTTATACACTGAAATTGCAGAAAATTGTCACTGTCGTGGTAACCAGATACGGGTTTTGGTCTAATCGATTACACCTGATACATCATTTCCAAAAATTGAATTTTAGTGAGTGTAACCATTTACGTTTCTTTGCATTTCTTTGTACAATCACAAAGCTTCCATACATCATTTAGAACCTATCCAAACACCTGTTACACGACTGTAACACCTCCATCACCATCCTCTATTTTCAAAAACAACATCTTGCACATTGACTTCTCTAGCAGGATTCAGCCACTCTCAATCCAAAGCAAGCATTGCAATATCTTCCTAGAGGTTCAGTGAAGCTAACCAGATCATCACAACACCTTGAAGAGTGCTCAAACTCAAAACACGACCTCCATTTGCAAGGTGAGTTTTCTGAATTTTCAACTCTTCATAAAAGCATCATTTGGCTTTAATTTTAAAAGATAAAATGTAGACATCATAGTCTTGAAACTAACCATATCCTTAGAATTCATTTCTATTGCCTGATCATGGGGAATTTTAAGTTTGAACTTTATGGAAAAAAATTAGGTCAGATTTGGTACCAAGCAAAATTCGTGTTCATCTTTGATCCATAGCTTAAGTTATTTACATATTTGAAATCGTGGTGAAATTTCTAACAAGTTTGATGTTTACAATTTTTTAAATGGTTGAGAGATGAGCAAGTTACAGAATTCAAAAATCTGGTTCAAAGGTTGGCGCGAGGAAGAAGATGAAGTTATCATTAGAACTTGTTTCATTTTAAATTTATTGCAAGTGGTTTCATAACCGGATGTACAAGTCACCCCGGTGGCAAGGCGCACGCGTATAAGGCATTATTGTGTGAGGACATGGGTTCGAGCCCCAGTGTCCCATTTTATATTTTTCATTCTTTTTCCTTTCCTACCTTCAACGCGCTGGGCCTCCCCTGACTGGGCCTGTTTTGTTTTGTTCTTCAGCATACCCCCCTGATTTCTCATGACAACGCAGGCCCATTTGTTTTTATTTTATTTATACTTTCTGACTGCAAACAAAAAAGGTTTGTTGGGCCTGAACCTCTTTTCTTTTCATACCCCCTTTAAATTTCTTTTTAACACCAGATCCAACATTTTTATATTTTATTTTTATTTCATTTTTTCCTTTTATTTCTCTATTTTATTTTTAATCAAAAAATATAAAATATATTTTTCTAAATAACTATATTAAAGCTTTTTCATTTTATTTTTATTTTTATTTTATTTATTTTATATAGATAAAACATTAAAAATACTTTCTCAACTATTAAATTTATTTTCTTAATTAAACTAATTTAGACTTAGGTTTTTATTTTAATTTTCTTTTAGATAATTTAGACTTTAGGTTTATTTAAACTTCTTGCAATTAATTGGTTTAATTAGGTTAATTAAAAGATTTTCCATAAAAAGACCATAAAACAATTTCTCTTCTCTTTACATTTCTTTGTACATTTTATTATTTCGCACTACAATTTATGTAATTGCCAAAGCCTTGTAATAGTAATTAGGGTTTATTTTACTTGTCATCCCCATTTGTAAATTTGTATCCCCTATCCCTCAAAAGTATTGTAATAGCGTGAGACTTTTAATTTCTGTAATTTATCGCTTACCCTATTATTGCTAGTAATTAGGGTCTATATAGAAAGACTTAAAATCAAACAATAGACAATCCTAATTCAAGACAAATTAAATGAAAAACAATATACTTTACACACATGCACCTCTAGGGATAACCCATACTTATTGCCTTAGATCAAAACAGTCATGTCCCTTGAATGTGGGATACTTTAGCAAAGACCCTCGATTATAAGATCATAGTCTCTCAATGGCCCCTCAGTGTTACCTTCGATAAACGATCTTAGCCCCTTACGACAAATTGCTAAAGTGTCCTACATGTTGCCTTCTATGATTGTACGATGACCCATGCTTGTCCCTCATATCCAATGATAAGGCTCTCTATCAATCAATGGTAGACAAGCACTATCTAAAGGAGAAGAAAAAGAACAAATACTTTTTGAGTAGGTAGATTGCTCATAATTCCTTGCTCACAAACATTTCAAAACCAACAATTTTCAACACACCAACACTTTCTTGAAATATTTTCAAAGTCAACACTTTGTGTGCATTCTTATAGAGACGAGAATCATTATAAAGTTTGCCCAACGATGACACTTTTTTCAAAATATTTTCAAACAAACACATTCACACAAAACATTTCAAAGTGAGCTAGCAACTAAGAGCCCGAGATAACTACGAATGAAAAGGGTGTCAATACCTTCCCTTTTCATAACCTATTCCCCGAACTCAAGAAAATTCTCAAAAGGTCTTTCTTGTTCTTTTCTATCTTTCCTTTATTAGTTAAAAGAAAACTCGGTGGCGACTCTTGTTATCCGCAATAATTGCGATAAAACGCAAAACACACCAAGTCAGTTCTCCTACTATATTACAGAACTGGCGACTCTATTGGGGAGTGTTTAAAAGTAGGGTTACCTTAGAGATTAGTTCACACTTAAATTCTTTCATTATTTGACTTGTTTGCTTTACTCTTAAAAGGGTTGTTTGGGTTTTGTATAGATGCTCTACCCAGATCTGGGGGCATTATTAGGTAAGTAACAATAGATCATGGAGACTGTATGAATGTAATACGATGGGAGAAATGACTTGGAATGTTTTGTGTTTGATCGCAATTGTTGCGTTAACAAGAGTCTCCATCGACTTTTATTTTATCCAAAAGGAAATGTGAAAAAGAACAAGAAATACCTTTGAGATTATTTCTTGAGTTTGGGGGGTAGATTATGCAAAGGGAAGGTGTTAGCACCCTTTTCATCCATAGTTATATGTGGGCTCTTAGTTGCTTGCTAGATCACTTGCTTTTGTTTGAAAATATGCTTTGTGGTTGTTTTTGAAAGTATTTTTGAAAAGGCGCCTTTATTTAGGAAAACTTTGTAATGGTTCTCATTTCATAAGAACGTATACAAAGTGTTGGACTTTTGAAAATATTTCATGTTTTGAAAGTGTTTGGAGTTTGTTTTGAAAGTGTGCAATGATGTTTATTTTGAAAGTGTGCAGGGATGTTTGTTTTGAAAGTGAGCAAGCAACTAAGAACGTTTCTACCTACTCAAAAATATTTTGTTCATTATCTCCTTTCCTTTGATATTGCTATCTTACCATTGATTGGCAGGAAGCCTTATCTTTGGATGTAAAGAGACGGATGTGGGTCATCGTATAGTCATGATAGAAATATTGTAAGATATCTTAGCATTTATCTTTGAGGGACTAAGATCATTTAAAAGGCAATATTTGTAGCGTCATCGAGGGATTGTGATCTTGTATTTTTGATTGTTTTTGCTAAGACATCCCACATGCATAACACGACCATTTTTAGGAAACAAGTGGAGTTAACCTTAAGGGTGCATGTGTGAATTATGTGTTTGATTTGCATGCATTTAATCTTTGATTA